CATCTTTCTGTATATTACAAAACTCATTACAAAATGCATGAAGCATATTGCTATAAAATACACACAAAACATGCTTTTTAATATCTACTTGTGTCATAAATAATCTATATTTTAGAAAAAAAACATGTAAAAGCATGGAATACATTTCGACTTACCTAGGTCAGGACTTACTAAGCGTTTTGCCCAACTAAATTTAAGCGAATTTATCATGGAGTTGAGATCGATGATTTTTAGGCCTCCTTTCATAATATCTTGTATAATCATATCTCTTTATATTTTTTTTCACTCCATTAAAAATTATACAAAATTTTATTAACCTCAGGAATAAGGTATTTATGAATATGTATGATACTTGCATTATATATAAGTTTTGATAAAGCAAGTGTCTTTATAACTGTAATTTTCCTTAAAAAGGCCAAATTTCTTTTCCCCACGTTATAGTGCTCTAAATTACAGACTTTTTTTTCCATTTTTGCAATACAAGTAAGTCTACCATATCCTATTTATATTCCTAAAAAAACTTTATAGGTTCTTGAATGAACGAGATGTCGGAAGCATTACTTTTTTTTGTTTTTATTAAATCCAATCCACACACATTTGGTTTTATTTTTATTCAGTTTCAAACCTGAAACCTCACAAAACGATTCAATTTCTATAATTAGCTATGCTATTTTCATCGTTTGCGCAAATCACAGTGTCATCAGCAAGTTGAGCTATTTTAACTGTATTCAGAACCTCGTTTGAAAACGGTAGTTTAATGCCTTTACACAGAGGATTGTTTCTTATATTAATTGCTATTAACTCTACAACTAATACAAAATAATAAAGAGAACAGAGGGCATCCTTGGCGGATCTCGCCGTTCATAATAAAACTCTCAGATGTCTAGGCATTATTAATAGAGAAGCTCTACTGTGTATCGGTGTACATTACCTCTACCCAGGTAGGAATTGTTTGCCAAAGCCAAAACATTTTAGAGATTTGAGCATGAAATTTCTATCTCCAGAGTCGAAGGCTTTTTCGAAGTCAATAGAAATTAAGCTCCTTTATTATTTGTGTCTATATATTCAAGTAGGTCCTCTATTAATCTACTTTCACCAGCAAATCTACCATGAATGTATCCCTTGTGATCATTGTTAATTATAGTATTTATTACCGATCGTACTCTACTGGCAAGCACATGAGCTGAAATTTTGTAATTAACATTTAGGAGTGTAAGCTTCATCTACATCCATTCTCCAAATTGGACCGGAAATCATAAATTTGCATCTCACTCCCTAAGTTTTTTGAGTGAATTTCTACTGATCATTACTGATGTTTTATTTTTTTAAAAAGCATATTAATGGCAACCTCTCATGTTATATTCCTTCCCTTGAAAAAACTCTAAAGGTTAGTACGGTACATCAATTTTTCAGGGCTAGACATGTTAACCCAACCGAGTGTTATTAACTGCATTCAATAGAATTTATCGTTTTCAAACTCTACCATATAATTATTTTTTTTAAATCAAAAATATATCCAGACTTGCCAAAAAAAATCTGAAAAACCACCTGCAGTCAATGTCATCAATTTGAGACCTTTTCAGTTTACATTAATCAAAATTTAAAAAAATCTGGAAAGCACTATATTTATAACAATAATTTGCGCTACTGAAAATAAAAGCAAGTGAAAAAAAGAAGGTTTATGGTGAAGATGCCAGAAGGAAGTAAGCAAATGGCATAGGGTTATTACAGTTTGAAGGCCGGAATACCCTGAAATATTGATATTATATACTTACACATTAGGCCAAGTTCATCTAGTAACTCTACACGCCGCTTTCCCTGGATACATGAGGGCAGCAAACACTAAAACATTTAAAATGCAACTAGATTTGCTTGAAGGTTCACAACCTTTTTGAACAACTCAAGCTCAGATTATTTAATATTGTAATATAGTTTATAGTCTTGTAACACGAAGTGTTTTTCCAACGTCTGAAGTCTAAAAACTAAACAATTCGAAGAAAATGACGACCACATAATTTTTCTAACAATATTAAAAGTACACAAAACCCCAATGGCTGCCACAGTTTATAATATATTTATAATTATTAATGTTTCATAATAGGGAGATTTCGCAAGCGACGAAAACGATAACGAATACAGTTACGTCATCATTTTTTTAGTCAATCCATCCCATACAGTAGTATATTTACAACGTAGGCGATCAATGCCTTTTAAATAAATCAAAGATCATATTCTGTTCGTATATATTTTGTTAACAATGTTTTTAGGCACGAATGACCAAAATGAAGATGACGTATTCGTATATTTATCGTTTTCGTAAAGGTTGCGAAATCTCCATAATGAGACGCAATTTATATATAATAAAATACTAGTATAACTGCTTTTGGATATTACGTCTAATATCTTTCCTTAACTATTATATAATTTATACGTATTCATTATCAATAATGTATCTTATTCCATTCAAATATATGAAGATTTATTTAGCAACCCTTTAGTATAGTCAACTGATTTACATAAAATAAAGAAAAGAAAACATGTGATCTTGATTCAAATTGAATTGAAAGGATAATAAACTACCTCTAGCCAGAAAACAATTTTGTGTATTTTTAGAACGAAAAAAAAACTATATGAATAGGTATCATATATCATTATTAGATGGAAACAAAGCTATGAAACAGGGTATCATATATCAAAAACCAATAATGAATATTAATATCTTATAAAGAAAAGAAGGCTGATTACCTTTTATCACAGAATATTGTATGGAGAACAGCTTTGTAATATCAAAATGAGAAAGCTGTGCAGAGAAAAATGAAGAGAGGATAGTGAGGTAATAGTGATTATGATAATGATGATGATCATCATCATGATATTGATAACTGTTGATGATAATGATGATGATGATAAACATAAGGAAAAAGGAGGGAAACAGAATGAGATGATGATGATGATGATGGTGGTGGTGGTGATGGTGATGCGCCTTAGACGGTTTTCCGTGGAAGGCACTATATAAATAGGCCTATATGACCATTGACCATTGATGATGTTGATGATGATGTTGATGATGATGATGTTGATGATGATTATGATGAAGATGATGATCATTAAAAGTTTCCCCTTCTCATAATATGTAATATTTCAAATATAGGAATATATTATAAGTTATTGCAGAATAATAACTTCTGCCAACTTAATACGGATATTTATTAGATTTTTGCGTTGATTATACAATCAATTATTGACATAATAATAGGCCCTATTTCTCCCTCTTATTCATGTGTTCGTTCAGTGTGCGAAACGGGAATTTATAGTTTTGCGATAACAAAAATGTGACGTACGTGTGGCGTAGACGTTTTCGTTATCATTTGCGTAAGTTTGCGAAATCTCATAAATGACGGTAGACCCAATTATGATAAAATTCTATAATACAAACTAATAATATGCACCAGATAATTTTGATTTGAGCTTGAATGGATGTTCGCCATAATATCTCTATGTCCATGGTTCAGCAAACATGGTTACAAAAAAGCAGGGAAATACCCGAAAAAACCTAATAGAGCAGTTCAATTTCTGAGACCATACAGACAAGCATTAATGTGTGGTGACGCTTGTGTATACATATCCTGACAGCAAAGAACTTTAAATAGCACGTAAAATAAATAACCAACATGAACATACCTCAAACTCCAAAGAACAGTGTCCACCATTACACGCGATCTTAAAGTTGCAATTAAGCAACGATTCCCAGAATATAATCAGCTGTTTCAAATGGTGGGTTCCCCTTCCGAGCGCTGTGTTCCCCTTCACAAAATCATCCTTTAAATTCATATTGATAAAACATTTTAAAACCATTGGATAAAGCACATTGAATTATATAAAATAAATTGTTCAAAATGTAAAATACTAAACTACAAAGTTCCTTGCCTTAAAAAAATCAGATTTGAAATTTTTATTTTTAAAAAAGCTAACAAGTCATTTGACTATCAAGCAAAACGAACTTAAAATACAGTATATATATCATGGTACATTAAAATAGCTGTGTCAGTTAAACTGCTCAAACCATTTGAAACTAAACTACTGTATTGCGATATGAATGAGCACTACCAGTATTAGGTGTCCAGAAAAGGTGATGTGGAAACGGCGCTGTCCCACCTGGGTCAATGCATGCTTATTGTGAACAAAATGTACATTTCAGAGAACAAAGCAAATTATTTTGCCGGGGTCTGCAGTTCCCTGGAAGTCGTGGAAGTCTCCCGGAAGCCAGACAGAATCTCCCAGAAGATAACAAATCTCCCACTAATTCATAGTATTTGCATGTTTTTACTATTATATTATCAATTTTCTCGCAGAAGTCAGTGCCAATAATTGGTATTGTTGGTACAGTATCACCATGCACAGAAAAATAAAATCAAATATGTTAAGAAAGCTCATTTAACCATCTCCCGCAAGGGATATTTTTCAACTTGGACCCCTGATTGTAGTTAAGGATGACTGAAGGGCCCAAGCTTTCTTAATGTATGAACGAGCACTATATAACCAGCCATGAATACTCAACACCAGTGGAGTTTCTAGGGGGCTTCCTCCCCCCCACCCGTCGCCCCCAAAAAAATTACGGTCAAGTAGTTAAAAATCACATTTTGCGAATTAGGGGCCATCATGTATAAGAGACAGCCCCCCACCCACACTTCACCTTTGCGGACCCCCATCAGCACCCCCATTTCAAGACTTCTATATACACCACTGCTCAGCACCTCAAAAGATCGTAATTTTCTTTTAGAATCTGCTGCCCTCAATGACAATAAGAATTTTTTAATTTAATTGGATTTACCACACCTCAAGAGAAAATATTTGATGCCTTTGTTTTCAAGCTGATTATCACGTTTCACGTTGACTATCGGTTTTCTGTATGAATCACTTTTTCTGTACCTTAATCATGTTTAATATAAACGAAGTTGATGTTAGATATGTTTTGAATAAAATGCTACTGACACCAGTAATACAGTTTTCCAGAATGGATTTTATTTAAACAACACATTGGCAAGCATAACAAATCTGGAACAATACAATAATAAAGCAATAATTTGTATACAGTATGTACACAATGCTATAAAAATAGGCTTTTTTACAGTCATAATTTACATCGCAAAAACCTATTTTGTACCTGAGCCTTGAGAATATAACTTAAATTTGATATCTAAAGTATCAATGCGGTTATTGATTATTGGCAAAATCTATTTTTAATGGTGTGTTTTATTAAGTTCTTATAAACAAAGAATAAACATTGCAGCTTACTTCAGTAACACTGTACACACTCAAAAGTAAAATTTACACAAACTTCATGAAAATAACACAAACACTAAAAAAAGAAAATTCTACTGACACCAGCAAAAAAAGAAATTATTAGTAAACAATAATATGCAAAAATATTAACTGTCCATAACTATATGTAATCATGTGTCCATAACAATTTATATCACAGATAACTTTGTACCTGATGTAATACTGTAATAAAAATAATAATATATTCATTTCCTCAAATACAGGTGGAGGGATAGAGCCAAGGAGGAACAATGTACAAAATGTTGCTGCCCCAAACACAAGTGATAATAACATTCAATTAGAAAAATACAGCATAGACACCTTGCAATAGTAAAAATGATTTACATGATTTTATTATTATTATCATGTTACTAAAACCTACCTTAAGGGGAACTTAGACAATGAAGAAATTAGAGAACAATAAAAAAAAAACGTTCAGGGGAAAATAACACAAAAGCTATTCCCTTTAAGTTGTCATTATTATTATTATTAATTATTATTATTATTATTATTATTATTATTATTATTATTATTATTATTATTATTATTAGGTGAACTGATGCTGGTGTACCATGTTGACAATACTTACATCAGAAGAGCTCAAACTCCCTTATAAAATAATTAGTGTCACGGTTTGCCATGGACTATTCAGAGAATTATATACATATGCATTGAAATATTAGGCAAGAGTGGCATTTTCATGCTGAAGCATGTAGAAATGTAAATACAGGGTATACTAAGCTTTCTGTCCAGTGATTGCCTAAGGTACGGTGTGTAGCTATTATATTTATTAATCTAAGACCATATTTAATGTCTATGTAAAGCTATTGTTTGTTTTATATACATGATTTGCGGCAATCTATTAATTGAAATAATCTCCATAATAAATATTTATTGGCTATCAATGCCAAGTAAATGATGCATGAATTACATGCTGAGTATACACTGATTAAATACTAATCAATTATAAATTAAATAAATTATGTATTAATTATATAATAATGCATGAAATAGGTGCTAATTATGCACTAAAGTATGCACTAACCTTTGCCCAATCAATTATTTTGTTATATATTTATTTATTTCTTCTTTACTCTGATTAACCTGATCAGTTCAAAAGCATTGTTATCCTCCAGGGCCCAACATTATTAATTGTACACTAACTATTCACAAATTTTTGTTAACCATTGCAAAATAAATTATCTCTATATAATTATTCTCTATTAAGCAATGACCTTAAAATATGGTCTTGTCACAGTGATTTTAAATGTACAGATGGATTGATATTCAACACTGCCACTCCTGACCACATAGGCGTTTTTTGTGGAACATTAACGACTCTGTTCCCGGTAGACCTTGTCCTCGGAGGTAGTACTGGTGACACGTAAGTGGTGCATTACCATACATTAGCAGGCTCTTAAAACAGAAATCATCAAAAAAGTAACGAAGATCTTGACCGACGCAGTTTTCCAGGAACCGCCGCAGAGGCAAAATATGACTGCAAGAAAAAACAATATTAAGAAGCAATATTAGTGAGGTGGAGCAATAGCTGGCACCATGGGCATTATTCTGGCTGTGGATAGAATTCATAAGTTTTATGATTTAAAACTAAATAATAGAGAAGAAAAAAACACAAGTTGCAGAATCTATGAAAGTAAATTACCTATTAAAAGGCCTGGTTATACTTGTAACGATAACATTAACAATAACGATAAAAACCTAAAAATCAATTCTTCATATTGAAAATAAAAGGAATAAAATATGTTTATCGTGTATACAATAACAAAACATTTTGACAATCAATTCAAATGACCTGATAATCAAGGAAAAATGATAAAATCGCTGTTTACTACTACGATTTCATCGTTTTTCCATGATGATGACCTCATTTGAATTGATTTGTCAAAATATTTTTTTATTGTTTACACGATAAATCGTTATCGAATCGTCCTAGTGTAAAAACTTCCCTTATTTTCTATATAAACAATTGCTTTTTAGCTTTTATTGTTATCATTGCAAGTATAAACAGGCCTTCACGATGTTAACACTGGCAACAAATACCTTATAAAAACATGTTAAAAGAGCAAACAGTCTACAGTATGACCACATCCTACATATTTTAACACGGCCATGGAGTAGTCAACCAATCTATGAATTTTTTTCACATTATTGCTGCGAAGCAGCCAATTCATATTCTTGACAGCAATTTGACCTCTGAAAGGTCATTGTTTGTCAAAAAACAACGGCCTAAAGACGACTGAAAAGCGGAGTTTCCTTCTTTCGTTCTGCCGGGTAAAATCAATTACTTTAGGCGACGTTTGTAGACTAACCAACACGTACCAACATCCGCATGTCGCGCTAGCCTTATCCTACTCTAGGCCTAGACTAGCTAGGATGGTATAGGCCTAGCCTTGAAATGACGAAGGTCCCAATGAAAAACAACGTCGCTCCTTGATAGCTAACATTGTCTATTTAACATCACAATAATTCATTATTAGACCTATAGTTGTTTTTTGAATTGTACTCCACAAATCTCAGCCGATACCTCGCACAACTCGTTAACGTCTCGTATCTATTGTCGTAACGTCATGGCTCGCCGGCTCACACTTGTGATGTCTCGCACTTGTGATCAAATAACACGCTGGCTTGCACTTTGGCAACACTCTTTGGCAGTCAACTCGCCCCTAGAAAACCCGCCCTTGGAAACTTGCCCCATAAAAAAATGTACACTTCCTAGACCATGCAGTCTTCAAAATAAAAATTGTAACCTTTGGTAATCAACTACATTTTCCACATACATAGAAATTTTCACCACTATAGACACTTTTTGACAAAAATGAAAAATTATGACTTTGTCGGAGGAAATTGTAAAATAATGTGGCTGAGTTGAGGTGAAAGTGAGCAGACTATATGAAATGAAAGAGATGGGATTTTATACATAAAATAACAAAATCATTAAACTTTTAGTATACCATTTGTTAAAAATATTATCATTCTTATTAATAAATCAATCCATGTTCTTCCTGTAAATCTGTCAAAGTTGGTACATCAATTTCAGAGTGCTAGACTTGATTACCAAACTAATTCAACACCCTTGAAAGAATCTATAAATTTTAATAACTACATTATAAATAGTATACAGTATGTAAAATTTAAAATTTGATTCAAAATATTAAAAAGTGAGATGAGATTTTATACATAACATAATAAAATCATACTTTTAGTACACCATTTGTTAAAAACAGTATCATTCTAGACTTGATTACCAAACTAAGTGCTAACACCACCCTTGACAGAATCTATAAATTTTAATAACTACATTATAAATACTATATGTAAAATTTAAAATTTGATTCAAAATAATAAAAAATTACATGGTAAATCCATCAGATACTGCATCATTAAAAGACAAATTGTCAAAAAAGCAATCTTATCTAATAACATACTCAATAATAATGTTTGTTGGATGACTGTGCAGTTAAGGCTGGGACGCCACAACGTACAGCCATAATATTGAGGCCGGTACAAATGGCATGCTTGCCTATGTTTCTGGTGGTGGAGCAAGTCTTCTTGGATAAAGGCCTATAAACCTTAGTCCCAGTGTCAGGAGCTTAGCCAAAAAACGATATACTGTATGCCGTCCAAAATGCAAGACGAAGAACTTCTTGCGTAGCGACAGCCACAGGGCGTGGCCCCAAGTGGGAGTGGGTTTGCGTACATAAGAAAAAAAATATAAAATTATGACTTTTAGACTGTATTTAAAGGTGTTGAATTTTTTCTTCAAAGGAATAGTTTTGAATGTGTTGTGAGCGACTTAGAACCGTCCATTTTCCAGCGGAGTATAAATGTTTTTAGCACACAAAAAGTGGGCGTTGTAAAGTGAAAGTTTCACAGAGCAAACAATGGTTTAGCCTTTCCTTTTTGGGAATCCCCACCAAATGTTGGTATGAAAATAACGTAAATTCAATCAAAAAATGTTGTTTTATCAAACAAAATTTAATTTAGCTTTAGTTTAATGTAACATTTGATAGATTCAAAGAATATAAAGAATTTGCTAAAGGTAGACCAGGCCCAACTAGGCTAGGCCAAGTTGAGTATGTCAAGCCATCACGGTAAAAGTGGCTGTCCTAAATAATTGTTGGCCGAACAAAAGACGGCCGAACAGCTCATTTGCTAAGCCTTGACCAGTGTACACAATTTAGCTCATGTGCACTATAAAAAAACTCAGTACATCTTTCGAGAAAAGTAGGGAGTTTCCCCAGTGTACTGGTCCATTCAGCCCCTGTTGTGAACAGATGAGAGTAGCTAGTACCAGTTTACCGGGTAGCTCAGACACAAAGAGACCCTTAGGAGAGAAGAAAGTTACTGTAGGAGCTAGTCCACACCTCGAGCAATGTGAGACCATTTCAGTAGAAGGCGCTACATAAATCTAACTATACAGTATTACATTTAATGATGTCTTTTTTTTTTACATTAATCAGAATCTGTTGTGATAAATACAATATCAAATAATTTTAGAGATGCAATACATTCACGAGTGTTTTTAAATTGCGAATTATTTCCAAAAGACTTTCAAAAGAAATAACGCTGATTTATTACTCCAAAAATGCAATCAAGAATTTTAATAAAATCCTTGGACTTACAAAACTTGAAATGTAATACCGTAAAACCTCGAATTAAAGACCTGGGCTTCTTTATTTTGCGAACTTTGGATAGGCTTCTTTTCGGGATGGGTTTTTTTTCAGGGTTACTTTTGCAAAGTAAAGAGGGGGCTTCTTTTGAAAATAAACACTGTAAATTTTGGGAAATACTACCATAAAAAAATACACAGGGCCTCTGTACATCAATCTGTGTCCTGGAGTGTATTTAACCGGCATTAAATCACCTAAACTACTGTTTAAACCAAGCATGTTTTTAATTTATTTTGTTTCTTTGAAATTCATGTACTGTGTATGTACTTTACTATCTCAAAGAAAAGCCCATGCTTTTTTTTAGGCTACTTTTGCAAAATAAAGAAGGGGCTTCAATTTGAGATGGGCTTCTTCTCTAGTTTAAGCCCATCAGGCTTCTATTCAAGGTTTTATGCTAATAATAACACTGATCACAACTGGATGTTAATTTGTCAACTTTCTGATGTACTGCCTTTTCCCATGTTTTGCCCTTACAATGTTTTTTTTTTTTGCACTGAAGAACTAGCTTCACCTTTCTTTTTGAGTTCCTCTCCTTTTTTAAGGAATATAATTCCTATTTTAATGTGACAATTATTTCAATCCAATTAAATTTCCAAATATAATCCTTTCGATTTCCATGTTTATGATATTTTTTTTCATTCATTTTTTCTTGATCATATTTTTCCCAATGTCAATTGTGTACATAATTTTTGTAATTTTGGCCATTTTAATTATTAAATAGTAACTTCGATTTTGTAATTCAATTTGTAAAAATGTAAATCTTTCAACTTTAATTTAACTTTTTAATCATGTAAAAATCATAAAAATCCAGCTTCTGCAATGAATGTGATTTTTAATCAACTTGAACTTGCTCTAGTAAGACACACACACACACACCCACCCGCACCCACACAATCAACATAAATTTTTAAAAATGAGGATACCAAATAAAAGAGTGCAACATGATAATGTATCTTAAGGTCAATGAAGAAATACATGACATATCCTATTACTTCATACAAAATTAATGAATACTTCTAATCTGAAATATGTGAGGGCAGCAAACAATATATATCAAGGTATCTTTCTTCAAAATAACATGGCAGCACAAAGCTGAATTGAAATAATATGCAAATCAAAATATGAATAGAATAGACCTGAATTACAAGATAATATGAAGATTTACAGCATATTTTCGCAAAAATACACATAAAACAAAACAAGATTATAAAACATTAAATTGGAATTAAAAAGCCAAATACGGAAAAAAAATTATTGAAGAATTATTGTTATTATTATTATTATTAATATTACTATTTTGTTATTATTATTCATTATTATTATTGTTGTTACAAAGGGCAGATGAACTCCTCGGAGCCAATGGCCAAACCATGCTTAGTTTAAGGAGTAGGATTAGTTAAGTATCATTATATTTGTATTCTTATTTATGTTAAGCGTATAGAGGTCTTTATGAAATGCGCTCTATAAGTCAACCATTATTATTACTAAAAACTACCTAGAAATTAGAGAACAATTAAAATGAAACGATGTTAAAGGGAAAATAATGCAAAAGATTCCCCTTAACTCCCAGTTAGCGGTAGTTATTATTATTATTATATTATTATCAAAATTATTATTGCTGATTGTAAATTTACGTTATGCTTCCGATAGTCCATGGGTTTAGTTAGCTGAAAGATTTACTATCAGTCAAAATACAGGAAAATACCTCATAAATACTTCATTTAAAAGGATCAAATAAATTATAAAATAAAATTTAAAAAATTAGTTTTCACTGATTTACAGACATTTTACTACAAAAATCCAATTTTAAGGAATTTTGTAGTAAAATGTCTGTGAATCGGTGAACATTTTTTTTTTTATCTATTTCTTGGTGGAAGCTAATAATTCATTTGATTCTTTTATTAATGAGCTATTCAAATTTTGTTTTTATTTTTTAGGTATTTTCCTGTCTTTTGACTAATAGTATATAAAAGTTCATAATAACACTAATTTATCCGCTACCTCATGACCATTTATGAATATTGAGTTAAACCTACCTTAGAGGTGCTGAGAAGTCTGTTAAGAAATCCTCAACAATGTGATGTATCCGCTGTGGAACCGGAAGAATTAAGTTCTTTTCTTTTGCATGCTTCATACCAAATTCTGTAAACAGAAAATAAATATTGTACTAATAATTGTACCACACACAGTACACATTTTACATAAAATAGCAATTTAGAAAAGCATCACTGATACTGTATTTTTATCCATAAAAGATCAAAACTGTTTTAAGGTGTCTACAGGAAATGCATGTTCAGGAGTCTACATATATAAAGTTTCTGTAATGGCCCCAGTACTCCTTTTCAGAGCCCCTTCTTCCCACAAGCAGTTCCTCTACATTTAGACAGCACACCTTCTGTTATTAAACCTTTATAATGCCATTTCTTACTGTCAAACATTTTGAAAACTTTAAGATCTGATGATCACTGTTAAAGTGGTTTGTGTTGTTTAGAGCTTCGGTTAGATGCTGTAGGTTGATCCTATGTCAACCTCTCAGACATGGGAAGGAATTTCTGATATCGCTGGCGGCTTGCTCAAGAACATCAGTTAACAGAAACTCTAAGGAACACTAGCAACTCAATCAGTAATCAGGTGACAGATTTTGATCAACTGTGATCAACGCAATTCAGTATTACGTGTTTTGGTTTAAATTTAAAGTAACTACACTTATTTAGTCAAAAGACTAATTTCTTACCTGTTGGTAATGTACGATAATAATATAGAACTGGGTGAAGAAAATTGGAATTATGTGCTCTACTAGGCTCTCCTGTAGCTCTGTTGGGCCTGAAGACATCATTTCCAACACCTGAAGAATAAAACGCATCATATTGTCAAGAATTATCTGGTTGGTTGCAGCCTCATTAAAAAACCCTAGCACCAGTTCACCTGGTTGATGGCAGCCTCATTCAAAGACTCAAGCACCAGATTGTCTGATTGATAGCAGGTTCATTTAAAGAATTGAGCACCATTAGATCACCTGGTTGATGGCAGCCTCATTCAAAAACTTATGCATCAGACATCTGACTGATAGCAGCTTCATTTAAAGAATTAAGCACCAGTTCACCTGACTAACGGCAGCCTCATTCAGAGACCTAAGCACCAGATCATCCGATTGATGGCAGCTTTATTCAATGACTTGAATACTATAAAAATTAGTATGTGGAAGCAGTTTGACACAGCGGGAACAGTTTGGTTCTCAAATAACAAAATCCTACCTGAATAATCCTTGCCGTACTCCATTGACAAGACAATCACATTGGACCCATTCCTGCCAGTGGATTCTGGAAGCCTGTGCAACATCTGGAGTGGAAATTCTTCAAGGTACTCATATTCAAGGCCATCACTAAGAAGATGAAGGGGAAAAAACATATTAAAGATAATAAAAATAACCTGCCAGTGCTAAATATTTGAATTGTTATTAAAATAAAATGAAAACATTTGTCTTAATGACTCCTTAGGTGTTATTACATTAATGACCTTTTAAAATAAGATATTTATTTATAAAATTAAATGTTTGATGATTTTTTTTAAAGATTACATATCATTGAGATAATAACTTGACTTGTTGTTTTACTCTAACTTCAGATCTTGTGCAATTTTTTACTTAACAGCTCACATTGGATGTTTTATGCTGCCCTCTATATGGATCTACATTCTTATCTGTGTTCAAGTATGAGAGGATTATATGGAGACATAATAAATAGGCTATCATAAATTACAGCATAGACATTGGTATTATTTTTATATTCTCATCTAAAATTTGTGTATGACTCTTGTTTGATGATAGATGATAATGTCATTGATTCAATCTAATTTCATTCATAGAAGCTGATCTTGGTGAGGGGCCGACTCAACATAGAGCTTTAATCAGTACTGATTTGAGCGGCACGCTCACCCATTGTTATGCAGAAAAGGTCTTCTCAGATAAGGACCAGAGGTGTCACCAGGATTTTTCCGACGGGGGGTTCCGAGGTCCCAGACAGGGGTCCACCGTCTCTGACGAAATATAGTGGGCGTGGTCGGGTGTCACTCAGAATCTCTCAAATTTTGGAGTATACTAATATGTAGAAAATACATACATTTTTTTCTCCCCGACGAATTGTGGTTTTTCTTCCCCCCCCCCAACCCCAGATGGTGCCACCCCTGATAAGGACTATAAACCTTTGGCTCAGCATACACGTTAGCCCATGTGCACTTAAAATAATCCAATACATCATTAGAGATGAGTGAGGGACACCCTGTTGTGCTGGTCCTGACAGCCCATGCAATGGATAGATGAGAGTGGCTGGCATTGGTTCACTGAATAGTACGGACACAAAGTGACTCTCAGGGGCGGAGAAAATCTCTGGTCCATGCACTGAGTGCCATGAGTGTCATGTTCGATGGATACCAGTGCTTACAGATGTACATTATTAATTTAAAGAATGGATCAACTGGCTCAATAAATATTACAGAAAAAATGAACCGGATGAAGGTGCTATGATGTCTCTACACATCCTAATCCTGATATTACCAAGTATTACTGAAACGTAACTAACTTGTGAAGAATTATGATATCTCCAAGTTGGCTGAACATTTGGTAGATCCCAGATCCTTCGTTTGCACGTTTAATGATGTGGTTGATCAATTCAGTGATTGGTTGATGGACAGATGGCCAAGGAATACTATGGTAACGATATTCTAGAAGATGGTGCAATGCTTGAGCTGAATGAGGAAAATATTGAAAAAGAATTAATAAGCGTAATTGCTGAGTAAAAGAAGAAGAAAAGAAGTAAATGAGCAATCACACATCTGCCATGGGCTTGCGTCCTTGGGCAAGGCACTTTACCTTTCACCTATGGTTGTCTCTCTCTACTCAGGAGTACTAATGGGTACCTGGTAGGTTCAGACACAAAATGCACTGATTACAGCTACAACATTATGGAATTTTCCCCAGTGAGCTGAGTATGTGTTCCCTATGTGCTTGATCCAATGACGGGAGGTAATGATATGAAGCGCTTAGGGGCCTTGTTGAATAGAAAAAGAGGCTTACCTGTGTAACGGAATCCATGGATAAATCCACCGGCAGATTTCTTATGATCAAGGCTGTGGGATGATGTCCCTGCAATGAACATGTCAGAAACATTTTCTACTTCATAGGCTGCATTGATTGCAGGGTACTTGCCAGAGGTTGTTGCCTCTGGCCTGGCATTTCTATAAAAAACATTAAAATTAATATATAATTAATTACAAAAAATTAGAAAAAAAAAGATACTTGCTTCCAATTCAAAGCTCCCGAATTTAAATTTTGATGAGGATGATGATGATGATTAATAATAATAATAATGTTGATGATGATTATGATGAGGATAATAATCATGAGCATGATAATGATTATGATGATGTTGATACTGATTTATGATGTTGATGATGATGATGATGATGAGGATGATGATTAGGATGAGAACGATGAGGGTAACAATAATTATGATACTGATATGATGATATTAATGAGGAGGATGATGATGATGACATTGATGACAATGATGATGATAATGATGATGATGCCATTAATGATGAGGAGGAGGAGGATTATGATTACATTAATGATAATGAAGATGGTGATGAGTGTGATGGTGCTGATAATTCTTGGTGATGATTATATCACCAAATACTGAATGCTTTACTTGTTTACAGTTATCAAAACATACAACGATAATAATTTGTCTTGAAGACAAACAAATAATTAATAATAATGATGATGACAATAATAATTATAATGCTGTTGACTAAGAAAACATCCACTAACGTAACTTACGGCTGAAAAATATCAAAATCATAAACGAATCCAAGACAACGTATAACATAATCGTAGCCATCCCTCAGAGGGAAATTGTCCGGTATGGAATTCCGGACAGATTTGTAGAATGAATCATTGACTATTGAATGGTTAAAGCCGAGTTCAAGCTCGTCCTTAATCGCAACAATCAATTTTCCATTTTTCTCATTCTTCAAGACAGCAACTTCATTTACATCTGCCTCTATGATACCATCAAGTGACTTTAACTGGTAAGTATCCAGAATGCCGTTGTTTACAGCCCTGAAAAAAAAGAAAACAAGAATCACTATGTAATGCAAATTATTTATTTATAGTTTATCTACCTGTATCCTTCACAATGCAGTGATGTGCTATAGTATAATCACGTTGAATCTCAAAAAGTCTCTGTCTCTTTTCAGAGTTACTGTCTTTTTGTTCATTGCTTTTTTACTTGTAGAGAATGAATCAAAATTAGACTCCCAAGAAAACTTGCTTAAATCAAAACCCTAAGCACGTTATTTTTGTGTTTCTCTGGTCACTTGATACAAAAGTGTATACTCGCATATAAGGCGACATGAGTAAAAGACGACCTTTCCAGTTTGAAAAGATTTTTGGACAATATTTGTATGTCTGGCGTATAAGTAAACACCCCCCCCCCCAACCCATTTCACCGTCAGTATTCCTACATTTTGCTACTCTTTAAGGTCTTAATAATACATCTAGCTGGCTAGAAATTAAGTCAATTGTAGGAATATTCTTCCACATAACACAGTAAGTAGCTTCATTTAGTAGTAAATTTGTGCTATTTTAACCCTCGTATTATATGTGAGAATATACGGTAGTATATATTCCATTTATAAATAGAGTATTGAATTTTATTCTAATTCATCCATACTCTACCTAGTAAGTGCCTTGCCTAAGACTAGAATACAATACCTCTTATCACCACTACAGATATAACAATAAACTTTCTCCAGATAATATTATCAAATAAGAGTAGTCATCAACAACATAAGTAAGTAACTTTATTGCTTCTCTTTTATAACAGAGGCACAACCGTAAAGATGTGCAACAATAACAAAATCAGTAAAAACTTAATTACGGTGATAAAATATAGCAAGAAAATATAAGTAAGTAGGTTAATACATACACTTATACACACACACATACATACATACATATACACATACACACATATACACATATATACATATATATACACACATACACATGTATACATATACATATATACATACATACACACACAATACATACATGCATATACGCACACATACACCCGACACACACATATTCACACATACATACTGTACATACATATACACATACATACACAAACACATATATATATACATATAACAGAGTAAATATTGTAAATTTAATTCAATAACATTAAAACCCGACATATTAGTCTTGCAATAGACACATAAACATACCTCAAATCCCCAACGTAATGTGTCTCCCAGGCCATCTTAACCCTCGACCTTGACAGCATGTGAATCACGTTCGTTGACCCAAGAATATGATCAGCTGTTTCAAATGCTGAGTTCCCCCTTCCCAAAATCATCACAGACTTTCCTTCAAAGTCATCTGTATCCAATGACATATCATCGTATTTATTGGTATGCTCCATGCCAAAGAATTCCGGGTTGTTGGGAGTTCCAATGCCAGTTCCCATGATCAGAATTCTGTAATGAAAATTAAAGATAATTTATACTTAAATTTTATCATTCGAATGCTGAAGAGCAGTCTAATTTTGAAGAAATATTAAGGTGATCGGGCTATACATTTAGATATGGAACAATAGGAAACTATTATTTTGCTTTTTTTTTTAACATTCTTTATTCAATTCAATGGATTTATTGTGAAAATATGACTTATAGTATTACCATTATCGTGCATGCCGCAACTCGAAAATGGTAGGAGTTAAAAACCCTAAAGTTAATGAACAGAATTTATGGATTATCTTATCATCCTTTAATCATTGTAATTAAGCTTCATCGCTCTAGTAATAATGTAATGAATGTTTTTGTATGTGAAATTTTAATGGAAATAAACTGCAAGTATTAAGTCTAAATAATATGATCTATAAATTACTATAAGGTTCCTTATGACATGTAGCCAACGGTAGTGGAGTTTTTGATGTGAACTGAATACGTTCCTCTGCAATGTTTTAAAAATCAATATGGCTTTAAACCTTTTAGGAGTAGAGTAGTTTCACAGCATATACCATGCTAAAGCTATGGGAAGCCACATCTATTATGAGCCATAAGGAAGTGAATTTTTGTAAAACTAGGCCAAAAAAAACCAAAAAACTATTGTGTTGCAGAAACTCAAAACCATTCAGTTGGCCAGGATTATTATTTTTTTACTCTCTATTATACAAGGATTCATGAAAAACCACAACTCAGCCCATATATTTTAGCTGATAAAATGGTTTACCATGGGCTAAAATGGGTTGATTAGATTTATTCAGCTTTTAATAGTAACTAATTAAAGGTTCAAAAGTGCCCTCTCAATTATCACATGTAATAATAAGTATTTTGAACATTGTCAAAAAAAACCAACTCATTCAAGATTTTCTGTCGGTTGGCTTAGAAACACTAAGTTTGTTTTTTTTTTGGCCTTATGGGATGTTCTATGCAGTGTTCTCCCAATTGTCCATATTGAGCTACAGTAGCTAAGCGTAAGCAACGTGAGGTATTTCCACTTTTAAGTGGAGCAAAATGGCTTCAAAAAACAATACATAATCATAGCCTAGGCCTGGACTGTTCATTTATTGAAAAAAGGCCAGCCTTAGTTAGGCTACCTAGGTCTAATATGTGTATTTTTTTTAAATCTACCAACACACAATTTTTACTGGTTGGTCAGTTATATTTACTGGTAAAATTGACAGCTAAAATGGCTTCGGGAGAACAACGCTATGTGACTAATAGAAACTAAACACTGCTAACTTATATAGGCTATGTGCACACATACCATCTAATGGTAAGCAGGATGTAAACTAGCAACATACGCGCTCACAGTTGCATTCATACAAGAAAATCCCAGATCCAGATATCAAGAAGATGATGGTGGGATAACTGGCCTATAGGAAATTGGAAATGCGTACGTCTGATTCGTTAATGATAGAAATCAGATCAACTTGCTATTCCGATAGAGCGTGCTAACTGATAGCGTATCCTCTTCCTGAGAACATTTAGAGCTAAGTGATCGGACGTTCTCACACGTGTGCCAATGATTCGGGCAAACAGTTAGCTCCCGACCTGGATATTAAGTCTTAGTGTGAACCTAATCAAAGAATTAAACCCAAGATCCTATAAATAAAAGGCAAGTACTTTTCCATATTAACCACTCTGCAAATATTGCTATATCATACACATATTGTACCACTTGTAAAGAGTGAGGTGTTATTCACATACAAAACCTATAGTTTACGCATGATCAGTTCAAGTTAAATTATATTCTGTTATTGCATTTCTCTGCAGTTTGTTTTTAAATTCAATTAATTTAATGGCTAGTGTGGGTTTTCATTGTTGTATTGGGCACATGATCAATATAATTGATTAAATATATTATATATATCCATTGATATGATATTAATATCAAATATTAGCACACACACAGTTAGCCACTTTCGTTTTTATGACACAATTAATAACTAATAAATTTCAGTATACTATTATCACTTCACAAAAAGAACCATTTTGTAGCCTTTGACTCATTTCAGTGCTAAATGTTAATAAATAGTACAGTAAATAAAAAGCTAGTCTGCATATAAGTATTGGTAACTGAATAGTACTGTTTTAGCAAATTAAATAGTGGTAATAACCATAATAGTTGTATTGATAATTGATACAGATACGGACAAAACACAGGAAATTACAACGTCGCAATGATGTTATTGTTCTCAAAAACATGATACAATTTGCTTTTATTTCCAATTCTCTCAAAATACCATTCTTTGACCAAAACTGTATGCCCATATTTAGTCATGATGTGCCTATATATGGTCATGTGATGTAATGGTGTAGCGCCTTGCTTGATGCCGATTGGATTTAACCTGTCCCTTGCTGAAGGCAATAAAAAAAATTGAGACTACTGCAGTGGAATCACAAAAAAAGCTAATAATAGTGTATGCCAACCAAATTTTAACTTATACCCCTGGATCCTACTATTGAGCATAATTTTTTCTAGTACTGTACATCAGTGTCGAATTCCTCTAAATTATTAAATTCAACGACATCAAGAATGAGAAATCGAAACTACAGCTGTAGCCTCAGCAAATGCATGCCGCATACACGATATCCACTATCTACAGCTGTAGCCTCAGCAAATGGTCATCAACAACATGATGCCGCATACATGATATCCACTATCTACAGTTGTCATGGAAACCACACATATAGCTGTCTCATTTATCAACCAAAACCAATAAAGTAGCTTCACTCAACTCTCAGACTTATATCACATGACCAACACTATCACTTACATGACCGTGCAACATCTAATATCACTTTACAGAACATTTTCAACGCTGCATAATGACACTCAGTGATTACTAGGAGTGATCATTCCAATTTCAATCTAGGGGGTTTTTGAGTTTAATGTGGATCTGCAAAGGAGTGGATTTTTTTGAAGGTAGATTACTGTGATTTTACATAGTACTAGACTTCTCCAGTTCGTAAAATGCATTTCCATCTATGTCTTCAGATTTCTGTAGCACATAATAACTTGCCTTTAGTGCTCAAAACTGCATTTACATTTGTGAATGGATGAATTTATTCGGTGTAAACACAAAGGATAACCCACGAATGTCTAAAGAAGACTTATTTCCAGTGGGATTTTTCTGGTGGTGATTGAGCAGTTAACCAGGAGACAATCCCCTACTCTATCCCAAATAATGTACAGCGTTCTTTAACATGCACACAGGCCATGATGAACACAGGACCAACAGCTTAAACATCTCATCCGACAGACGGTGCGCTATCACAATTTGCATATTAGCCCTCCAGCTGAAACAGAAGGAGAGCAGCGATGGGAATGAGGATTTATGGGTAACTTTTCAGGACGATCGGGTCCACTTTCAAATGGGCCCGATTGAGCTGGCCCGATTTTCTGTAATTTTATGTGGAATTTCAAACAAACAGGATTTAGATTTACGGACCACTTTTCCTTAGTTTTCACAATAATTTATCATTAATTTGACTTGTATGAGTTGTCTAGGCTCAATTTGAAAAGGGCATTTGTTATTTGTTCTGGACTATCTATATGGGTCTAGGCCTATGATAAATTTCTGTAATATTTTGTCTATTTCCGTACGTCCCTTAATTAGGCAAAATTTCCGTAGAAAATAGGCCATAGTACTTGAGAAGTTTACATATACAGTAGTTAATACTGCAACTATCTGTTTATTAAAGTAAATAAGATAAGATACTAGATTGTTTGTCAGCGGCTACAGTAGACGAAAAATGAGAAGCTGTGAATTTGCAGAAGATGGGTTTTCCCCGGAGATTTTTGCATGCTCGAGAGAGTTGATTGTAAATTAAAACTTAATTGCAAATTAAAGTTGTAGAAACTACAGCACACTGGTACATCAATTAAATTAACCTGTATGACACCCTCACTTTTACTTGTGATAGTTTACATATTGAGGACCACTGCAATAACAACATGTTTACAGAAACAAATTAAATGATCTAATAATCTGTATGTCACAATTGATATAATTAAAGCCATCTCTGTAGATAAAAATACTTGATGTGTAGGTGTATTACAAATGTTTTTAAAGCAGGTGTTCGACTGAAAGATGAACGAGTTTAAAAAAACACACAATCAATACTGTGCTGGAACATTGTTTAGCTCAAATGTTACTACAACAAGTCACTACAAAATTAATTAAATACCCTTTACGTTCGTTTCATCATTCGTCTGATTTATATTATTTGTATACTCAACACTTTATTCATAAAAAGCTATAGTACGCAAACTGTTTGTTCTTCAATACTACACAAAAAAAATTGTTTAACTCAAGGACTACAATGGTACTGCAACAAGTCACTACAAAATTAATTAAATACCTTTTACATTCATCTCATCATTTGTCTAATTTGTTTACTTGACAGCTTATAAAAAGCTATACTGTTGTATAAATATGCATAGTTGTTCAATACTATAATGTTCAGGGAGTTAAATTTTAAAAAATACTGTCAACATTATCAACTGTAATAGTAAGACTATGTGTTTGTGTAGGTGATATTACTTGGTCTGTTGATATTAGTGTTAATACTGTATTTTCATATTTTAGATTTTAATTTTTTTGATAAATTTACAACTTTGACCAAGAAATCTATAAATAGTGAAAAGTCACCAATATTCAGGACCCATTAGCTAGGTTAATGGTTCAATTATCAAACAATCTCTTGCTACTGGGTTTAATTAAAAGTTACAATAGTGCACCGTCTTTCGAATGAGACGTGTCATAGGTCCTGGGTGCATTATGGCCTATGTGACTTGACAAGTCTTTTGTGGGTTATCCTTGGTGTTTACACCAAAAAAAATAATCCATCCATTCCTCCAAAAAGACAAATTTTATTTATTTAGTATTTTTATTTAAATAAATAAGTAAAAATCCATTTTTGTAGCTTACTTGCAAGAGAAGGTGGATCCATTTTGACCATCCATCAAGAATATCTCCTCACCATCTTCTGCAGTCTGCTTCCTGATGTTACTTATTCTTGTGTTATACTGAACATTAAGTTGCAGCTTGCGTGTATAATCATTTAAATACTTAACATAAGCATCTGCTTGAGGGAAGAAATCTTTGGAATAGTATCTGAAAAAAGAAACATCAAAATATTACAAGAACTTTTTAATACTTACAATATAGAAAACAGATGTATGGTACTGTAAGACGACAGTCTATTGAGATTTTCATATATTCTTTAAAATAAAAACTTCAGAAAAAATAGTCCTACAAAATGTACCTACAGTACTATATATAAAAAGAACTAAAGTCATCAGCCAGTGGCAAAAAGAGAACTACATTAACTATCAAGTGGATTACCTAACAAAAAGATGTTGACAATGATGAATGATGATGCTAATAACGAGGATGATAATCTATCAAACCTCTTCAATTTTAAATTAAATCATTATTGCTAGATCTTTTAAACATTTCTATTCCTCTATATAATAAAGTACCATAGTCGTGTCGTCACAACGCCAGGTAGCGCCCTCTGTTGCCAACCAGATGTTGGTTACCGTTCATTACGCCTGAATGACTTCATAGGCTTTTTGGTAGGCATTTTAAAATCTAATATTTCACCATTAAAATGTACTAAAAACACAAAAACTCAAATTATATTAGTGATCGAACACACATTTAATCAATTAAAATTTACAAAGAAAAACTAAGATACAACATCTTAAAAATTACGTTAGAAATTGGGATCAATGGTTTGTCAGTAGATAAAATGGCATCTGGTTGAACACATTTTGCAACGATAACAACGGAGTAGTATCACATGGTATCGTGATGTAAAATGTCAGTACTCTATAACTAAAACTTGCAGTATTGTACACAGTACATGAGATTTGCAAAAATGTGGAGGGATAGTACTACTACTGTACAGTACTACAGTATGTTTTTCCTGCTTCCTACCATTGTATCCATACTGTTCCATTAAAAGCTTATATTCTGAGAGCATGTCCTAATCCTTTACAAGATTATTAAAATCGTTTGTGACAACCACAGAATCAATTTAGAATCCGTAATGAAAAATCATTTAAGAAAAAAAACTGAAGCTAAATCAGATGGAGTATACGTAAATAAAGGCTAAAACCACTGACGTAATTAATTTAAATCATAAATATTAATGTGATAAACCAACCTACAGTACAGATCCGTTAAACATAGTCACACTTTAGTTTGTATGATTGATTAGGCGAGACTAATTTTTTAAACGTTAATAATAGGTTAACTTTAGTTTTGAAAAATGTTTCTTTGCTTATCTGATGTGAATAATTAATTCAACTTGCCCATAAATTGTTGGAAATTATTTGTATGTTTACAAGTATACTATATAATATTTATTATATTTTTATTTTTTATTCATTTTTTAATTTCAAGTTATATACTTCATTTTCTATTTAATTTTTCTTGTTTAATTGAATTGAGCACATAGGAGTATACCATACTGGCACCTTACAGTACTGTGGAGACAATGGGTACAGCAACCAACTGGCAATTCAAAGGTACTAGGTTCAAATCCTAATTTGGGCAATGTTTTTTAATATGTTGTGCATCTGTTGAGGACAAGACCAGAAATTAACAACTTGAGTTTGAATATTGATATAGATAACAAAGATAGATACAAAAATTAATACAGTTTAGAATGAAAGATTTGTATAGTACTGTAATTGTATAATTGTATGATGCAGGCTTTTCAGGCATTACACAGTTTTTCCTCCCTTAAAAATGTTGACAATAGATATGTACCAGAGGGTGTCCAAAGATTATGTGTATATTGTATACTTTAGAAACACATCATCACTTCCTTTGCAAATTGTATAATATTTCATGTTACTGTACAGTGATAATATGCATCGCTGGAAAAAAATAAATAAATAATTGGTAAACACCTTTTGGGGCAAAAAATTATATAAATTCAGAAATTGGATTAAAAAAGGAAGAGTGCATATTCATGTGATGCCTACCTATACTGAAGCATGGATTGAATCAAAAACATAAACACAAGACACCTGTTCTTTTTAGCATATTAAATAGGAATCTAAAGTACTGCATACTTCATTGACAAGCAGCAACACAGGAAATTGCTATAAGCAATTGTTTCCTAGCACCAATGTAAACACACATTTATGCTAGCTCCCGATTATGAAGAGGTTCATACAAGGAAACATGCTATGTACTACTACATATGTAAACAAGGAACTTCACTCAATACTGTACTGTGCTACAAGGAAGTTTAGATTTAAAATACTGTAATATTAAATACTACTGCCATAGTGCTTTGTACAACAAATACAAACAAAAAATACATAAACAGGTACAGCATACTGTAACTGTTCATCCTAGGGATGGTCAACAGGAGGTAGGACCCCCTCTCCCACAAAATAAGGAAAAAAGAGAAGAAAAAGAAGGAAGCAGTTTTACAAAACTTTTGGTTAAAATTTCTTGTACCAGTGTCTATCATACAAGTATAATTTCTAAACAAAATTCTTAAGCAAAAAAATCCCAAATGGCAATGGCAGTAGCAATAACTGAAGTGCATGTGATCAGCAGTGGATTCAAAGAGATGGTGGGGGGCAGCCAGCCTGGCCCTTCACCCCCCCCCCCACCTCCACCATCACAAAAAAAAAAAAAAAATCCGGCCACATGTAGCATAATCCTATATTTTCTTACCTCAGCCAAAACAATGGTGCGGCTAAGGTTGTGATTATTCGCTCCCTGAACCCCTCTATTTCAAATTCCTGGATCTGCACACTGGTGATGTGCATTTTACAAAAGATTATTAACAGCAAGTAATGAGTTCTTAGAACTATTTTAAAAGTTGATGAAATCTACTCACCTCATTTGGAGTGTCTCATCATCGCTAATCAGTGAGTTCCAATCGTGTCGAAAGTTAAACTCTTTGTTCGTTTTACCGGTGTGCCGTTTATTGATGCTAATTAGTTTACGATGGCGAGGATAATCAACAAAAAATGCTCCGCTTATGTCCTTCTGCTCAAATATAACATATTCTCGTTCAGCACGTTCCAGAAAATAACCCATCTGTAGCCCGCCTGGGCCAGCTCCCACAATGCAATATTGTTTATGTCCGACAATCACATTGTTATTATTTTCAACGGACAATATACATTTCGAATGAATTGTTAAAAGAACTATAAAAAATCCATATATTAGTTGAGACATCTTGGTATTCTTATACACAAATTTAACCTCTTGCTTCATTACAAGCCAGTGTAAAAAATAGGTATTCAAAATAAACAGTTAACAGTCATAATGCACTGACACTTCTACAGTACTGTATGTATGTCCATGAGGAATGCTCTTTGTTAGATTCAAAATCATTAACATAGCTCCACCCCTTTTACAACAAGGCATCATTATTGGTGGATTTTAATCACATAATTCCAAGTTTCCACTGAAAATCTAAATTGATACGATGATATTGGTTGTAATTATCAGTATCTGCCAAAAATATTCTTATATGTTAGAAATATCACTGATTCTTAGCTTGCAGATGTTTCTACTGCTTGAACTGCTACCATAAACCACCCACTGGTTTTCTAATGAATGTTTAGTCTTAAATCTGTAATTAAAAAAAATAATAAGAGATTAAACCACGGGCAATATTGAGCACAGTATTCTGATGAAATATTACCATACATCAAATACACTCAGCTATAGCAATCTATTCGAAGCTATCGTATATGGCACCTATAGCGAAATAGTCAACTGTTAATTACCAGATAGATAAAAATGAGATGACGCAAGCAAGAGCATACGGTGCATGTAGTGTGTGTGTAACTGATACTTATTACTGTGCAATCAAATAACAATGCTAACTTTAAAACACCTTCACAACCATTTCTTTTAAGTTTTATTAACCCCCCATTTCATCCATGATTCTTATCGCTTATTTTTAATTTGCAATGAATGTTTTTGTAAATGTAAATTTTTTGATGTGAATTTTGACCTGTTATATTACACTACAGTAAAAAAAAAGTTATTTAATTTTGAAGCACTTGGGCTTAGTCACTTGTGAAATCATAAAACAAATATTAGCCTATTGTGCTTTAATTTAATTTCAACCATACATTAAATATATTGTTGAAACTTTTAATTGAACAATATTGTACTGTTGACTCAAATTCTGACATTGAACTGGAATATATTCATAATTCAAAATAAAACCAACTAAATATACAGTGACAACTATTTTTGGCTAATAAAGATAAAATGATTTCTATTGACCTCTGCTTGGTTGAATATTAAGTGATTGCAAGACATGTTTTAATTTGCTTTGTCTAGTGTTTTTGTGTGTGAAGTTTTCCTTTCCTGGTACACACCCCTAAGCAGAGAAGCTTTTACACTTTAAATTTTTGAGTTAGCCTTGGCCGTGAAGCGCTTGTTTTCAGATAGTTTATCCATACAAACAGTCAGGCTCAATCCAACAAAAATCAAATGAGAGATATAGTGCACTACATACGGCCCAATAAAAAAAATGTTTAGTTTATCACCCCCGTGCACATGTGTTCTATGGGAATATGACCGGTTGAGCCGCCGACAAGTTGAGCCGCCGGTAATTTCTATGGAACGCCAAGCGCGTCTCTCAGTGAATGTAGTCGGCTTGCCGATGTCATCAGTGAATGAAACCCCCGGATACCAGCTACATATTCATCCCACAGTCTTGTCAGTCGTTGATTTGCTCGTATTGCCGTTCGTGATGCATAATTGTGTAATTGAAAATTAGAATTTTAAATATTTTTATGTACTACATTTTTATAAAAATATACGAAGTTGTATAATTGCAAAATCGTATTAAAAATGTAATTTTATGTACTACATTTTTATACAAATAAATGAAGTTGTATAATTGCAAAATAGTATTAAAAATGTGTTTATTTACGTTTGGTTTGCGGCGTATTTCAATTAACTTATTCGTTATTTGTACTATTTTGTTAAATTATTTAATTAAATTATTTATTATATATAAGTTTAACAAATAGTACAAAAATAAAAATATATAAATTATAAAACCATAGTAAATACTGTATAATACCGTAGACCTAACACATTTAAATTTATTGTTTATAGTCATGCAAAATCATATTAAAAATGTAATTTGTATTTGTACTATTTTGTTAAATTATTTAATTAAATTATATATTATATATAAGTTTAACAAATAGTACAAAATTAAAAATATATAAATTATAAAACCATAGTAAATACTGTATAATAACGTAGACCTAACACATTTAAATTTATTGTTTATAGTCATGCAAAATCATATTAAAAATGTAATTTGTATTTGTACTATTTTGTTAAATTATTTAATTAAATTATTTATTATATATAAGTTTAACAAATAGTACAAAAATAAAAATATATAAATTATAAAACCATAGTAAATACTGTATAAAAACGTAGACCTAACACATTTAAATTTATTGTTTATAGTCATGCAAAATCATATTAAAAATGTAATAACTTGATTATTTTTTACGTTTGATTTGCGGCGTATTTCAGTTAACTTATTCGTTATTTGTACTATTTTTAAATTATTTAATTAAATTATTTATTATATATAAGTTTAACAAATAGTACAAAAATAAAAAGTTTATAAATTACAAAACCATAGTAAATACTGTATAATAACATAGGCCTAACACATTTAAATTTATTATTTATTATTCATGCAAAATCGTATTAAAAATGTAATAACTTGATTATTTTTTACGTTTGGTTTGCGGCGTATTTCAATTTAACTTATTCGTTATTTGTACTATTTTGTTAAATTATTTAATTAAATTATATTTATTATATATCATTATATATAATAAATGATAAGAATGTATGGAGTTTTTTTTTTACTATCTGGCAAGCCGACTAAATTAGACAGATGACTATAAACAATAAATTTAAATGTGTTAGGCCTATGTCAATATATTTACTATGGTTTTGTAATTTATATACTTTTTATTTTTGTACTATTTGTTAAACTTATATATAATAAATGATAAGAATGTATGGAGTTTTTTTTTTACTATCTGGCAAGCTGACTGAGCAAATACTCACAAAATATAAATTAAAACGATAGAAAGAACAAGTAAACAAATTGAAATACGTCCCAAAAATATTTAATAAATCAGTGCAAAAACCGAGTATTAAATAAATTGAAATAATTAAGTAAATAAACTGAAATACATCCCAAACGACAGTACAGTACCAAGAAAGAATAAGTTAATTGAAATACGCCGTAATTAACGCACTACATTCACTGAGAGACGCGCTTGGTGTTCCATAGAAATGACCGGCGGCTCAACTTGTCGGCGGCTCAACCAGTCATAATCCGTTCTATGGTACTGAAAAAAAAATAAATAAATAAAAAAAAATAATTTTTTTTTTTAATTCATTTATTTTATTAAATAGTTTGTAGATACTGTTTGCATTATCTAAATCATGTTTTACTTTGAATATCAATGCACCAGCAAACAACCCAAGGGTGATATTTGGCTTTAGCAAAATAAA